AAGGGTCAACCAGTGTTTTGTCCATAGTACTATATACTGTGGTATATGTTACTAAGGTATTTGAGAGGTCTCTTGTGTTTGACTTCCTGTGCAGGTGTGTTTCTGTTTTGTTGTTGAGGTGCAGTGCTACAAGAGGAAAGGAAAGAGTCAGGATCTTTGATGATAATCTTATCTAGAGTCAGCCACTCATGGGAGTTATTGGCTTCAGACTTCAGAGGTGTCACTCTTTGTTCAAAGTGGAAAAACAGCATCCTGGTTGCTGCTACTTGATCGGGCAGTGCGGGGGAATAAAGAGTGGGAAATATATCTATGCTTTGATTAATTCTTATAGTCATACATTTTTGGAGTAGCCTTCATGAAAATTTGCAAAACTCTTTAGCGCTCTTGATTGCCATGAAGCATTAGATAATGTAGTACAGGTTATACCCTCCTAGGGTTGGTCCTGCTATGGGCAGGGGGTTGGACTCTATGGCCTCCTGTGGTCTATTACGACTCTTTGGTCTGACAACATTGTGTTCTGGCACAGACAATAGATGTTACTGGACCACAGAGCCCAGGAACAGGGAGGTGTGGCTGTGGGGCAGGAGAGCTGTAGTGGGGACCGCCAAATTAGTTGAGAGCCCCGTGGGGGGGCAACACAACAGGGAGTTCTGGCCCAGTGACCACAGAGCTTCAGCCCCATCACAGCCATGCAGCACCAGCCCCAGTGGTAGACAGGGTGCTCTGGTTATGGTGTTATGGCCTTGGCAGCAGTGGAACCAGGCTGGAGCCCTAGCCTAGGGGCAGTGGGGCACCATAGGCCATGATGGAATGAACCTCTCCTGGTCCAGCAAATCTTTGTTTGGGACCAGTCAGGTCCCAAGGGTGCCAGACTAGGGAGGGCCAACCTGTATTCTTCTGCCTAAACAAAGGCACTCATCCTGGCAATCTGCTTCATTCAGGAGGACCCTCACAACCATGCAGAGCACTAGCTTAAATGATGCTGCACATGGTGCCTGGTTGGGTCTGATTTTAAGGTAAGGGCCATAATTGTTTAGAACCAAAGAAACCTTAACAGTTAACTGTAGTTTGCTTCCATGGCAGAGTAAACTGGTGACTTGGAATATTCATTTTTGTAGTGAGTATGTAAAATTTGGTTAATTCACCAAATGTATTATTTCTTCATTCTCACATTTATGGTCTCTCTGAAAAAAGACCTTTAATGCCAAAAGAGATATTGTAGGAAGCAATTTAGAAAATGAGCCATACTCAACATTGGGTTTGTTTAAACTTCAGTAGAAGTCTAATTTTAATGAGCAAGGGCAGACATATTTTATAAAGAAACTTTGAATGCATTGAAACCTCTTTATTAAAAGATGTGAAGTAGAACAAATTGTTTTACACAGGAGTGACTGGTTCAGCCTTTCCATTTGATCTGGGCCGCATTCCACACAAAGCCAGACGTCCATTGAAAGAAATGATTGGATCTAGCAAAAATCGGAATAGCAGTGACTCCTCTCCAGTTGAATGGAATTCTGGGAATGGCAACAAACTAGCTTCTGAAATGCAAATGAAATTTCAAAATCAGCAAGAAGAGCTAGAAAGGCTAAAGAAAGATTTGTCAAGCCAAAAGGTAATTCAGACAAGAAGAGCAAGCACAACTGTGGACAGATCTGATAATACTGAGAATAAAGCCACCCTTTTTAATTATTTAATTTTGTTGTTAGTTAATTATCTGGTAACAAACACCAATACTAAATATACCTGTACATTTGAAAGTCTCAAAGTGTACCCAGAGATGGAAAAAGTCTTGGTTTGTATAGAGTTTAGTAACTGCTCTTTTGGCTTTTGTATTCTCCCTTATTTACCCACTGAAACTAGCTTTCCAGAGTGTGTCTGCAGGCAATTAAAGACAATTCACTGCCTGTATCTGAAGCCTCCCTTTATTTTCCCCCAAAAGAACTCCTGATATCTGAGATCCATCTCTTTTCTTATCACATTAGAAAACCCCCCCCAAAGATCTTCATGTCTAATTTTACATTCAGTCTGGATCACCAGCAGGTTTTGATAGAGCAGGGTACAAGTCTTATACCAGCAGTACGCTATGTAGATTCTTACATATATCATGTTGATGTCAATGAGAGTTTTAAATGCATAGGAAACAAGAAGCAACAACTCTGTTTTTCCCATATTTATTAGACTGAGGTAGGTTGTTTTGAATTTTCCCGTGTGACCTTTTGAGGGGAAATCAATTAAATGAGTTCCACATTTACTTGAGATTGCAGTCAGTCACTCTCTTAGGAGTGAGTCCCTTGTTTTAGATCCAGCTCCTTTGAGAATTCTTATTTCTACACTCACCAATCTCCTCCCAATTGGTTGATATTTTCATTGGTCTTTTTCCATGGCCAAGAATCTTAAAGAAAGCTAGAGCTATTCTATCAGAGGGCTTTGCATATCAGGACAGATATGTTGAACTGGGTTCTTTTGGGAGCTGAGCACCAGATGGATGCACCTCAGTAACCTATATGAGTCAACAGTCTTTGCATTTTGTAGCAGTTGAAACTTGTAGGTTGTGTAGATTCTCTCTGCTGTATACTGTTTCATGCTAGGGAACAAAATAACCCACCAGCATCTCTGCAATTGCTACGAGGCCCTGATTCAACCTAGACATACATACATGGTTCTTCAAACCACTGGGAACTTCCAGATCCCCCTCCACTGGGTCCCCTGGAGAGAACACTGGTCTAATCTTTAGGCTCTCCCTTTCATCTCAGTTTGTGGGAGGAGGTCCATTCCTTTATCTCAGAAGTACAACCTGTTACATCCTATTGAAAATTATAGCTTGGTGGGTTTCCTCATAATGAACTTAGTTCCACCCTTCAGCTACTTAATGGGCCACAGCTGTCACTGCTTTCTGCATGTATAATATAGCTTGTGTGTGTGTGTGTGTGTGTGTGTGTGTGTGTGTGTGTGTGTGTGTGTGTGTGTACACGTACACACACTCACACAAAATATAGCTTAGTACATACATCAGTTAATGGTATGGACTTTAATGGACTCCAAAAACCCTCTGACTTTATTCCATTTGCACTTGTTAATTCATATTATATTCTAAGTCTCTTTTCTTTTGTTTTACCTAATTGTGCTCTTAGGCTGTAGTGTCTCCTGCCTTTTATTCACCCTCACTTTACTGTATTCTTTTTCAGGAACTTGTGCGACTCTTGCAGCAGACAGTCCGGTCTTCCCAGTACGATAAATACTTTGCAAGCTCTCTTTGTGATGGGGTTCCAAAAGACAAATTAGAGCTGCTACACCAAAAAGATTCTCAGATTTTGGGTCTCAACAACCAGCTTGAAAAGCTAAATCTGGAAAAAGATAGTCTCCAGCAGGAAGTAAAGAATTTGAAATGCAAAGTTGGAGAACTCAATGAGCAGCTGGGTATGTTAATGGAAACAATTCAAGCCAAAGATGAAGTGATCATGAAACTCTCTCATCAGCTCAGTGAAATCGAGGACAATCCATCCTCCCAAAGTGGAACAGCAAATTTTTCCATGTCATGCTCTTTTAACAAGGAGCTACAGGAACTGGACAGACTAAAAGTAAGACCGCTGTGTGTCTCATTGCTCCAGAATCCTCACACCCATGAGATTTTTTTTTTTCTTCCAAGTGAAGCTTGGGATTTACATTTTGCTGCCTGCTTGACAATATAATCTATAGACATTAAATTGTTGTGTTGGTTCACTGTACACTATAGCATGTTTTCAGTAATACGGTAATTTGTATGGAGGAAAACTACCATGAGAGAAAATCCAGAAAACAGGGACAAAAAATGGGGGGACAAGGGGCGGAGAGAAAACAAAGATTTAAAGGTAGAGTTTGGAACAGAAAAAACAGATGGTAAAAATAGAGTAGAGAAAAAGGTATAAGGGGGGAATAAAAGCTCAATGTAAAATGACTCAAAGGTTTGTTTTTCATACAGGCCAGGCTGTAGGAGGAGCTAATACCCCACAAGAACATATGTTTAGATTACCTGGTATGGGGCTCCATCCGTTTTAGTATTTTTCCATATGGAGGGAGGGGGGCAGGTTTGCCATCAAAGAAAGCCTTCCCATTTTCACCTATTTAAGAAAGAAGCCCCTAGAGGTGTGACCACCAGTCCTGAGAACACTCCTGTTTACCATCTAAGATGTCTACTAGAAACAACTGAAGCTTAACATTAAAAGTGGTTAGGTCCAGACTGGCAGCTTTCCAGGCTCTGAAAGAAGATGATTAGAACTACTGTTAGGATAAGGTATTACACGTAACAAGTTTCTTAGCATATTAAACTTACCTGGCATCTTTTGTTCTATTTTGCTTAGCAACATTGTTCTGTGTTGTATTACTTACAACCACATATATCCCACTTTTTATCTACTATATATTTTAGAGAGTTTGTGAGTGTGTGCCCATCTGTCAGTGAGTCCATTTGTTCAAGGACTCCTAAATGGTAAGAGCTTTGGTACAGAGCTTCTTCTTATCGTCTCACTCGCCCGCCTGCCTCAGGCAGCAGTGTGTGAGGAGAGGGCAGGTGGGATTTGGTGCATGCAGGGAGCTGGCTCCTCATGTGTATTGGCTCCCCAGAGCCACCTGTATCCCTTGACACCTCTCTTAGAGGCAGCAGTAGCATGGGGGAGCAGGTGGGAGCCAGTGTTGACAGCACAGCTCCTGACACACCAGCCTGCCCGAGGAAGCACATGCTGGCCTCCATGCAGACCCCTCTGTGCTGGTCCATTATGGCATGTGGTCCCCTCTGACATGGGCTGGCCCCTGGGGAGCAGCTGCTGACTGGGCCATGGGTTCCTGTCACCCTCTTCCCCCTGGGCCAGCCCCACCCCAAGTTGGCCCCGGGGAGAAGCTGGCAGGCAGGAAGGCTAGCCACATGTCTCGGATTGGCCACAGATCGGGGCAATTAAGTCTCCTAGTACTTTTATTTATTAATAAACCCAGTGTAAATAATCATTGCGGGGGAAGCAGCCACGCATGTCTCTCTCTGTGAAAAAAGGGACAGACAACATGAATTTACCTTGTATAAAACTCTACAGATTAAGATGGATTTATCTGGCATTCAAGTACAATTAAGGCTGTGCACCTGGTGCTGAATTGAGTCTCTGTAACTGAGCTTTCCCAGAGCTGAGCTAGTCTCAGCATCTGTATTATACTACTGAGGGCTATGACCCTCTCTTGTGTCAAAAGGCCTGACTCAGCAAGACAGAGGGTTGAGGAGTACCCACGAGGGCAGGAAGGTTGGCTCAATGGTATTCCAGCACATCAAGTGACAGTCACTAGCATATCTATGTGATGGAACCCATTACACCTATTCCTGCAGATTTGTACTAGCAATGGTTTAGGCGAAGGTTTCTAACCATCAGAGGAGTGAAGTTCTGGAACGGCCTTCCAAGGGAAGTGGTGGGGGCAAAGGACCTATCTGGCTTCAAGATAAAGCTAGATGGGTTTATGAAGGGGATGGTTTGATGAGGTAACATGATCTTGGCAATTAATTGACCTTTCACTATCAGTGGTAAATAGGCCAAATGGTGGGAAGATAGGAGTTGCTATAGAAAACTTTTTTCTGGGTGTATGGCTGGTGAGTCTTGCCCACATGCTCAGGGTTCAGCTGATCGCCATATTTGGGGTTGGGAAGGAATTTTCCTCCAGGGTAGATTGGCAGAGGCCCTGGAGGTTTTTTGCCTTCCTCTGTAGCATGGGGCACAGGTCACTAGCGGGAGGATTCTCTGCATCTTGGGGTCTTTGAACCATCATTTCAAGGACTTCAATATCTGAGATATAGGTGAGAGGACTATTCCAGGAGTGGGTGGGTGAGATTCTGTGGCTTGCATTGTGCAGGGGTCAGACTAGATGATCAAAATGGTCCCTTCTGACCTTAAAGTCTATGAGAAGTCTATGTAAGTTTGGTTTTTTTGTGTAAGGCTAGAAAATACTATCATCTGGTTTAGTAGTGATATTTAACTGACAAGCTCTAGTAGTGAGCCAAGGTAGGATTTATTGGAATAGCTCCTGTTGACGAAAGATACAAGCTACATTAGAGCTCTTCTTCAGGTCAGGATAAGGTCTCATAATGTCTTTTCATCCTAAATCCTGCAGTATATTGTAAAGCAGAAATTTAAATGTCAATATTTATATAGGGTAAACATTAATTCTTATTTTTATTAACAGGACAATCTTCAAGGTTACAAAACCCAGAATAAATTTTTAAATAAGGAGATTTTGGAACTTTCTGCTCAAACCAGCTTTGTTATACTTGAAGGGTTTTCCTTCTGTTTGAAAAGGTCCAAAATAGATACTGGAGATATTCCATCGTGGTGTTGCAATTTAATTTGTATATCTGCCAAAGAAACTCCACTATACAATAGACATGGAACTGTTCATATCAGTTTTAGTGATGACTCTGATGAAAGCTACTGTGCTTGTTACAGTCTATTTAATCTTGCTGAATGAATGATTTCTCAGAGATTTGTATGACTTTACTTATAATTCATTAGTAAAGTCCAGGAATATTTCATGCAAAAAAGCTCTTTCCTTGAGATTAAGATTACAGTTCCATGAAACTGTCCAGGGCCGGATTAAGGGGGGACTAGCAGGGCAGGTTCCCGGGGCACCAACCTATGAGGGGCGCCTGATGGCAGCTGTAAGGGTCACCATGCGCCTGGCCACGCGGCGCCCCTTAGAGCTGCCATCAGGCACTGTGCTCCAGGGGGGCAAAGCCGCACATGCATCGCGCACCCGCTGCCCGGGGCACAGGAATGGCTCGAGCCGGCCCTGAAACTGTCAATAGGTTTTGATGATGGGACTAGGTATTGGCATGGATATTCAGATCATTGCTGTGCTCTGGAGGAGTCTGTGTAGAGAGTGAAAATATATAATTAAAGCAGCAAGGAATTTTGAAATATTTTATCATTTTAAAGATGTTTTAATGAATATCTGTCAAACTTTGAGGACTACATGCACTCATCATCTGACATTTTAAAATATCAACTCTATTTAAATTACAAGAGTATAAAAGATTGGTGCTACCATCCATATAACTTCTTAGTGAATGAGTGGATTTTGTTAAAATTCCCTGCCGCCCCTCACAACCCCCCCCCCAAAAAAAAACCTTTATGCTAATACTTGTCATATAACTCAGCCCAAGTCTCCCCATCCAATAAGTAGTGATGGTTAAGATCCATTTTAGTCTAAGTATGCAGCATTTAATTATAGTATTTGCTATCATAAACAGTATTGTAAAATTAAAATCAATTTCAGAATGTTTCTTCAAATGTTTGAGTTACTTTGTGCAATTTGGGCATGTAAAACTGACTCTTTTCAGGTTCTATATTTGTTTAATGTTTGGGCTGTGTGAATTTTGAACAAGATCTTTAGAAATGTGTTTCAAATTAGTATAGTAATTTGGCATGTTATTTTCTACAGTGCGCTAGTCTGGAAGCCAAACTTTGTCAGATAGAAAGTAAATACTTGATCTTGCTTCAAGAAATGAAGACTCCTGTTTGCTCTGAGGAACAGAGCCCTACTCGTGATGTCATTAACCGATTGCTCGAAGATGCTTTGAAAGTGGACCACAGTGATCAACCAGAGCAAGCTTTCTTTAAACCTTTCCTTGTCAGGTAAACCTGAGGCTAATTAATTATTTTGAGGGAATCAAGGAGGGAGGCGTGGGTGGAGAATAGATTTCAGATATGAAACTTCATAGATATTGTAAAGTCTTAAGTATCCTAAATGTACTTCAGGAGAATGAATATATAGTATTTTCTCATCCTCCATTTCTCCTCTGAACAGTATACTTATACCCTAGATTTCTTTATACCCTGGGTTACTTCAGCTCTCCCCCTCCAGGCATACCTGGCTCCAGTGCAGGTCCTCTAGAGTGTTCAGGACTGGAACCTCTGGCAGGGTTGGCAGTTCTTATAGGTCAAAGTCTGTGGGCCCAGCCTCTTTTAGGTCCACAGCCACCTCCCAGCTCTGGAGGATGGGACAGGTATGTGGCTCCTCTGGTGGCTGGGGTTTGACTGGTCTCCCAAAGTAGCCTTTTATAGCTCTAGCCCCACCTCCTGACTTCCTGTCAGGTGATGAGATGGGACCGGGATCTGCCCACCCGAGCTGTAGGTCACTGGGTGGCCACTCCACCTCACTACAGGCCAATAGCCCTCAAACTCAGGGAAGCATGGGAGGTTCTAGGTTGCATATTAGAAAAAACTATTTCACTAGGAGGGTGGTGAAGCACAGGAATGGGTTACCTAGGGAGGTGGTGGAATCTCCATCCTACAGGTTTTTAAGTCCTGGCTTGACAAAGCTCTGGCTGGGATGATTTAGTTGGGGTTGGTCCTGCTTTTGGCTGGGGGTTGGATTCGATGACTCCTGAGGTCTCTTCCAACCCTAGGATTCTATGAACAGGCACATAAGAGTCCACATCGATCCTGATGCCCAAGTTCCTGCCAGCGTGGGACTTAGTATGTGTAACCAATGCCAAGGTATAATTATAGGGAGGTACATGCCTACCAACAGGTTCCATAGTACCAGCCCTTGCTTCCACCACAGCCACTGGTCTGGTCAGAGTTATTCTGGAGACCAGGGGTGCTGCTTCACCTCTCACCACTGTCAGTCTCCAAGGCAGTCCCCCTCTTCTCCCCCCCCCCAAACAGGATGGTCATTGGGTCAAGGGTACTCCAAGTCCCAGTCCAGATCACAGCACCCTTCATGCACATGGGGCAGATTGCTGGGTTCCTGTGACAGAGTGAACGAGGCCCTGAGCCCAGAAAGCCATAGATAAGGCTTCCAGGAGGCTAGAGAGGCTCTGGAGGAAATGGCTAATCAAGGGCCAGGGGGCCTTCGACAGAAGCTGCAGAGCTCAGCAGCAGTCAGTGCAGGGCAGAGCTCAAAGAGAGCAGACTGCGAGGCTGGCTGAGGAAGTTGTCTTCTGAAGGGAAAATCCTGGAGGTGCCACCCTCTCTGAGTGGGGAAAGGGACTGAGGGGAAACAAACTGAGACACCGACTTGGAGACACTAGCAGAGGGTATTGGGATGGTCCCTGTTAGATTTGTACCCCAGAAAGGGTTTGAGTATTTCACAGAGTGTGATTTGGCTGGCGGGCTGAGTAGCCAAAAGTCTTTTAAAGAGACAGTGCAGGTAAATGCGCTCAAACAGATAGGGACAGTGCAGGTAAATGCGCTCAAACAGATAGGGACAGTGCAGGTAAATGCGCTCAAACAGATAGGGACAGTGCAGGTAAATGCGCTCAAACAGATAGGGACAGTGCAGGTAAATGCGCTCAAACAGATAGGGACAGTGCAGGTAAATGCGCTCAAACAGATAGGGACAGTGCAGGTAAATGCGCTCAAACAGATAGGGACAGTGCAGGTAAATGCGCTCAAACAGATAGGGACAGTGCAGGTAAATGCGCTCAAACAGATAGGGACAGTGCAGGTAAATGCGCTCAAACAGATAGGGACAGTGCAGGTAAATGCGCTCAAACAGATAGGGACAGTGCAGGTAAATGCGCTCAAACAGATAGGGACAGTGCAGGTAAATGCGCTCAAACAGATAGGGACAGTGCAGGTAAATGCGCTCAAACAGATAGGGACAGTGCAGGTAAATGCGCTCAAACAGATAGGGACAGTGCAGGTAAATGCGCTCAAACAGATAGGGACAGTGCAGGTAAATGCGCTCAAACAGATAGGGACAGTGCAGGTAAATGCGCTCAAACAGATAGGGACAGTGCAGGTAAATGCGCTCAAACAGATAGGGACAGTGCAGGTAAATGCGCTCAAACAGATAGGGACAGTGCAGGTAAATGCGCTCAAACAGATAGGGACAGTGCAGGTAAATGCGCTCAAACAGATAGGGACAGTGCAGGTAAATGCGCTCAAACAGATAGGGACAGTGCAGGTAAATGCGCTCAAACAGATAGGGACAGTGCAGGTAAATGCGCTCAAACAGATAGGGACAGTGCAGGTAAATGCGCTCAAACAGATAGGGACAGGGGAAAGAGATTTGATGGCAAAGGTCAGATTAAACCAGCTTTGTTATACTTGAAGGGTTTTCCTTCTGTTTGAAAAGGTCCAAAATAGATACTGGAGATATTCCATCGTGGTGTTGCAATTTAATTTGTATATCTGCCAAAGAAACTCCACTATACAATAGACATGGAACTGTTCATATCAGTTTTAGTGATGACTCTGATGAAAGCTACTGTGCTTGTTACAGTCTATTTAATCTTGCTGAATGAATGATTTCTCAGAGATTTGTATGACTTTACTTATAATTCATTAGTAAAGTCCAGGAATATTTCATGCAAAAAAGCTCTTTCCTTGAGATTAAGATTACAGTTCCATGAAACTGTCCAGGGCCGGATTAAGGGGGGACTAGCAGGGCAGGTTCCCGGGGCACCAACCTATGAGGGGCGCCTGATGGCAGCTGTAAGGGTCACCATGCGCCTGGCCACGCGGCGCCCCTTAGAGCTGCCATCAGGCACTGTGCTCCAGGGGGGCAAAGCCGCACATGCATCGCGCACCCGCTGCCCGGGGCACAGGAATGGCTCGAGCCGGCCCTGAAACTGTCAATAGGTTTTGATGATGGGACTAGGTATTGGCATGGATATTCAGATCATTGCTGTGCTCTGGAGGAGTCTGTGTAGAGAGTGAAAATATATAATTAAAGCAGCAAGGAATTTTGAAATATTTTATCATTTTAAAGATGTTTTAATGAATATCTGTCAAACTTTGAGGACTACATGCACTCATCATCTGACATTTTAAAATATCAACTCTATTTAAATTACAAGAGTATAAAAGATTGGTGCTACCATCCATATAACTTCTTAGTGAATGAGTGGATTTTGTTAAAATTCCCTGCCGCCCCTCACAACCCCCCCCCCAAAAAAAAACCTTTATGCTAATACTTGTCATATAACTCAGCCCAAGTCTCCCCATCCAATAAGTAGTGATGGTTAAGATCCATTTTAGTCTAAGTATGCAGCATTTAATTATAGTATTTGCTATCATAAACAGTATTGTAAAATTAAAATCAATTTCAGAATGTTTCTTCAAATGTTTGAGTTACTTTGTGCAATTTGGGCATGTAAAACTGACTCTTTTCAGGTTCTATATTTGTTTAATGTTTGGGCTGTGTGAATTTTGAACAAGATCTTTAGAAATGTGTTTCAAATTAGTATAGTAATTTGGCATGTTATTTTCTACAGTGCGCTAGTCTGGAAGCCAAACTTTGTCAGATAGAAAGTAAATACTTGATCTTGCTTCAAGAAATGAAGACTCCTGTTTGCTCTGAGGAACAGAGCCCTACTCGTGATGTCATTAACCGATTGCTCGAAGATGCTTTGAAAGTGGACCACAGTGATCAACCAGAGCAAGCTTTCTTTAAACCTTTCCTTGTCAGGTAAACCTGAGGCTAATTAATTATTTTGAGGGAATCAAGGAGGGAGGCGTGGGTGGAGAATAGATTTCAGATATGAAACTTCATAGATATTGTAAAGTCTTAAGTATCCTAAATGTACTTCAGGAGAATGAATATATAGTATTTTCTCATCCTCCATTTCTCCTCTGAACAGTATACTTATACCCTAGATTTCTTTATACCCTGGGTTACTTCAGCTCTCCCCCTCCAGGCATACCTGGCTCCAGTGCAGGTCCTCTAGAGTGTTCAGGACTGGAACCTCTGGCAGGGTTGGCAGTTCTTATAGGTCAAAGTCTGTGGGCCCAGCCTCTTTTAGGTCCACAGCCACCTCCCAGCTCTGGAGGATGGGACAGGTATGTGGCTCCTCTGGTGGCTGGGGTTTGACTGGTCTCCCAAAGTAGCCTTTTATAGCTCTAGCCCCACCTCCTGACTTCCTGTCAGGTGATGAGATGGGACCGGGATCTGCCCACCCGAGCTGTAGGTCACTGGGTGGCCACTCCACCTCACTACAGGCCAATAGCCCTCAAACTCAGGGAAGCATGGGAGGTTCTAGGTTGCATATTAGAAAAAACTATTTCACTAGGAGGGTGGTGAAGCACAGGAATGGGTTACCTAGGGAGGTGGTGGAATCTCCATCCTACAGGTTTTTAAGTCCTGGCTTGACAAAGCTCTGGCTGGGATGATTTAGTTGGGGTTGGTCCTGCTTTTGGCTGGGGGTTGGATTCGATGACTCCTGAGGTCTCTTCCAACCCTAGGATTCTATGAACAGGCACATAAGAGTCCACATCGATCCTGATGCCCAAGTTCCTGCCAGCGTGGGACTTAGTATGTGTAACCAATGCCAAGGTATAATTATAGGGAGGTACATGCCTACCAACAGGTTCCATAGTACCAGCCCTTGCTTCCACCACAGCCACTGGTCTGGTCAGAGTTATTCTGGAGACCAGGGGTGCTGCTTCACCTCTCACCACTGTCAGTCTCCAAGGCAGTCCCCCTCTTCTCCCCCCCCCCAAACAGGATGGTCATTGGGTCAAGGGTACTCCAAGTCCCAGTCCAGATCACAGCACCCTTCATGCACATGGGGCAGATTGCTGGGTTCCTGTGACAGAGTGAACGAGGCCCTGAGCCCAGAAAGCCATAGATAAGGCTTCCAGGAGGCTAGAGAGGCTCTGGAGGAAATGGCTAATCAAGGGCCAGGGGGCCTTCGACAGAAGCTGCAGAGCTCAGCAGCAGTCAGTGCAGGGCAGAGCTCAAAGAGAGCAGACTGCGAGGCTGGCTGAGGAAGTTGTCTTCTGAAGGGAAAATCCTGGAGGTGCCACCCTCTCTGAGTGGGGAAAGGGACTGAGGGGAAACAAACTGAGACACCGACTTGGAGACACTAGCAGAGGGTATTGGGATGGTCCCTGTTAGATTTGTACCCCAGAAAGGGTTTGAGTATTTCACAGAGTGTGATTTGGCTGGCGGGCTGAGTAGCCAAAAGTCTTTTAAAGAGACAGTGCAGGTAAATGCGCTCAAACAGATAGGGACAGTGCAGGTAAATGCGCTCAAACAGATAGGGACAGTGCAGGTAAATGCGCTCAAACAGATAGGGACAGTGCAGGTAAATGCGCTCAAACAGATAGGGACAGTGCAGGTAAATGCGCTCAAACAGATAGGGACAGTGCAGGTAAATGCGCTCAAACAGATAGGGACAGTGCAGGTAAATGCGCTCAAACAGATAGGGACAGTGCAGGTAAATGCGCTCAAACAGATAGGGACAGTGCAGGTAAATGCACTCAAACAGATAGGGACACTCTCAGGAGATGAGCCACCCCATTACAGTTTCCTTCACTTAACTGCCTTCCAATGCCGATCACTGGCTGCATGCGTTAGAGATTCTTCTAGATCCAACTGCTCTGGGTCATGGCAAAGTGATCGGCACTGCTTGGCATGGAAACATCCATCTGCCTCGTGGTCTTCCTAAGCTGTCCAGTCAGGCTCAGAACAGTGGCCACTGACGCCAAGCCAAGCCCTGACTTACATGGCACTGTCAGTGTGGTCAGCACTGCAGGCCCATACATGGCCTCAGCGTCAATGGCCTGGTACCTCTCTCGACCACTCCAGCCCACCCAGTCGGGTGATGGGAGGCATTCAAAGGAATGGGGAAGCCCCAGAGAAGATGACAGTGAGCTAAGGAGACTGTAGAACATAGCACCACCGAGCCACCAGGGGAAGCAAAGCCACCCCGGCACCTATTTCATCATCTTCATCCCCAGATGAGGGGATTGTAGTCCCCCTGCACCTGAAACTGCCGGAAGATGCAAAGACCCATTAAGAACTATTTGAGAGGGTTGCAAGGATTCTGTGGCTACAAGCAGAGGAGTTGAAGGAGTCCACAGACTCCCAATTCAATGTCCTCTGATCCTTGGCGCCCGTGAGGGCAGTGCTACTCCTTTATGAAGAGGTCCTGAAGATTACCACGGCCTTTTGGCAGGTACCCTTCTCCCTGGCACCCACCTCTAAGAGGATTATGCTAGAGATTTCAAATACCTTTTCATTCCCACTTCCCTCAACTGCCTGGTGGTTAAGACAGTCAATCAAAAAGAGAGGCAGGGGCAGCCCAGAATGACATCCAAGGATAAAGGCGCCAAATAACTGGACTTATTTGGGCATAAGGTTTATTCTCATCCAGTTTACAGTTCAGGATGGTGAACCACGAGGTCCTCCTTCATTGATATGACTTTCATAGTTCTCTTCCCGGAGACTGGTACACTGCCCTCGACTTGAAGGACACATTCATTTACACTGCACTCTTCCCTGGAGCTGGTCCCCAGCTTGTAACTGTGCTTGGGATTCTTCCGTCCCAAGTGCAGGACTCTTGTGGCCCAATCCTCCAATTTGTCTAAGTCATTCTGTACCCTATCTCTGCCCTTAAGCGTATCTACCTCTCCCCCCAGCTTAGTGTCATCCGCAAACTTGCTGAGGGTGCAATCCATCCCCTCATCCAGATCATTAATAAAGATATTGAATAAAACCGGTCCTAGAACCGAACCTTGGGGCACTCCGCTAGAAACCGACCGCCATCCTGACATCAAGCCATTGATCACTGCCCGCTGGGCCCGGCCTTCTAGCCATCTTTCTATCCATCTTACCGTCCATTTATCCAATCCACAATCCCTTAACTTGCTGGCAAGAATATTGTGGGAGACCATATCAAAAGCCTTGCTAAAGTCAAGGTATATAACATCCACTGACTTCCCCATATCCACAGAGCCAGTTACCTCATCATAGAAGCTAATCAGATTGGTCAGGCACGACTTGCCCTTTGTGAATCCATGTTGACTATTCCTAATCACTTTCCTCTCATCCAAGTGCCTCAATATGGATTCCTGAAAGATCCCTTCTATGATTTTTCCTGGAACTGAGGTAAGACTGACCGGCCTATAGTTCCCTGGATCATCCTTCTACCCTTTTTTGAAGATGGGCACTATGTTTGCCTTTTTCCAGTCATCCGGGATTTCTCCCGATCTCCACGACTTTTCAAAGATAATAGCCAAAGGCTCCACAATGACATTTGCCAACTCCCTTAGTACCCTCGGATGCACTAAGTCCGGACCCATGGATTTATGTACGTTTAGCTTTTCTAAATAGTTCCTAACCTGTTCTTTACCCACCACGGGCTGTCCATCTTCATCCCATCCTGCGTCACTTAGCGCAGAAGTCCAGGAGCCGACCTTGTCCGTGAATACAGAGGCAAAGAAAGCATTGAGTACTTCAGCTTTCCCCACATTATCTGTCACTAGGTTACCTGCTTCATCCATTAGGGGCCGCAAACCCTCTCTGATCACCTTCTTGTTAACATGCCTGTAGAAACCTTTCTTGTTATCCTTCACATCCTTAGCCAGTCGCAATTCCATTTGCGCTTTCACCTTCCTGATAACCCCCCGGCATTCTCGAGCTATACCTTTAAACTCCTCCCTGGTCATTTGTCCAAGTTTCCACTCTTTGTAAGCTTCCTTTTTGTGCTTAAGTTCACCAAGGATTTCCCCTGTAAGCCAGTCCAGTCTTCTACCATGTTTGCCTCTCTTGCTATGCGTCAGGATGGTTTCTTTCTGTGCCTTCAAGGCTTCTTTAAAATGCTGCCAGCTGTCCTGGACTCCTTTCCCCTTCATGTTAACATCCCAGGGGATTCTGCCCATCAGATCTCGGAGGGAGTCAAAATCTGTTTTTTTGAAGTCCAAGGTGTGTGCATGTCTTTCCATATCAGCAATATACATTTCTACCCATGTTCTGCCCCAAGTTTCACTGGACAGTGGAGGAAAGACACCCTTACACACTAGAAATGCAGAGAGCTCTGGTCTTGTACTTAAAGCATACCAAGCCCTTTTGGAAATCAGCACTACTTTTTATTGCCACTCTGAACCACATGAAGGGGCTACCAGTGTCCTTTCAATGGATCTCTAATTGGATCACTATGTGTATGTGCACCTACTATGACTTGGCATGGGTACCCTTGCCTTAGGTCGTCCGTGCCCACTCTACCAGGCCCCAGGCATTCTGAATGGCTTTCCTGGTGCATGTGCCCATCCTGGACATGTGTAGTGCCACAACCAGGTCCTCAGTCCACACATTTGTCTCATTATTCCATCACTCAGCAGGCTAGAGATGACATTGCGTTTAGTAGAGGTGTGCTTCAGTCAACAATGTCTGTGAGCTACTATCCATTTCCAGGAGCACTGCTTGGAGTCACCTGATGTGGAATGGACATTGTCAAGCACTCGAAGAAAAGACAGTTACTTTTTTGTAACTGGTATTCTTTGAGAAGTGTTGCTTATGTCCATTCTACAACCTGCCCATGTGTCCCCACTGTTGGAGTTTCTGACAAGAAGGAACTGAGGGTGAAGGAAGTGCACAGCACTCATTATATCACACGATAGAAGCAACCTACAGGTACTGGTAAGGGAAAAACCTCTGGCTCACCTAATGTGGAATAGACATGAGCAACACATCTTGAAGAACACCAGTTATGAAAAGGTAACTGTCTTAGAACATAACATAAGGGCTGGGGGAAAGCTGACGGGTATGGAGGAGCACATGGATTGGATTGAGACACCTCTTAGGATAGTGTCTATTAATAGAGATTCTCTATGTTCTAGTAAGGAGGAGAGGATGGAAGAAGATAAAATATGGGTAAGATCAGATGAGAAACAGTCAAATGAAAAAGCGTCATTCAAACACATCAGGAAATGCCAAATAGCTAAATAGAGAAAAAATTTTAACGTGCTTATGCACAAACATTAGTCTAAAAAACTAGAGTGCCTCTTAAAATGAGGGATAAGGGATCTTTCAGAAAAGGCTTTATTTTCCGAAATATCCGCGTCTAAACTGGCGCTTTTTTCCGGCAAAGCTCCGAGCTGGAAAAAAGCGGCAGCCATTTTTATGCTAATGAAGCAGGGGAGATTTAAATCCCTGTTTCATTTGCAATTGCGATATGTCTAATTTGCATCCCTTTTACGAAAAAGGGATGCAGTCTAGACACAGCCTAAATGTGTACAAAAAATAAAGCAACTGCTTTGACAGCTGGAGCTTCGACTTTGTCCAACGCGGCGCTAGTATATTCGTATTCAGTCACCCATGTGGTCCATGCTCCCTGAGAGTGAGAACAGGGATTTACAGTGGTATATAACAGGCGATCGCACCACTGACTGCATGCACAGTGCTGAATAGTGACATAATTGTCCCTATTTTCTGGCTAAGCTGGCATTACACAGAGACACTTATTGTGGAAAACACAAATGAAAATTGTTTCCAATAAAATGCATAAAAGCTTAAATATTAATTATTTTTTAAAAATAATAAAATGTTATTGTAATGGAATTTTCTTGCGGAACCTTTATTTTCACTTCACGGAACCCCAGGGTTCTGCGGAACCCCATTTGGGAAACACTAGGATAGAGACTAAGACAGAGAATATCTTATTGCCTCTATATAAATCCATGTTACACACACATCTTTAATACTGCATACAGTTGTAGTCACCTCAGCTCAGAAAAGATATATTGGCACTGGAAGGATTCAGAAAAGGGAAACAAAAATGATTAGGGGTTTTGAATAGGGATGTTAAATATCGATTAACTAATCGAATAGTTGATGGGATTTCCATTGACTGTTATATTAGTCAATAAGGACTAAACCGCAATCCAGCTTTGAAATGTACAAGAGTCCTAGCAGGGCTCTTATATTAAATTATATTAAATGATTTGATACCACATTAAATATAGACAAAATTATCCAATATATTTAACTATTCCAAATATTAATGCAACTTGATTGTCTCCTAATTTTGTTTATATGATTCCATGGCTTAAGCTTCTTGCAAAGGCTTACTTAAAATTAATTCTAAATGTAGATAAATCTTTGCATACAGATTGTTCAAAAAGTAAAATAGGTTTTGTTGTAAATTGAATAGGGAACTTTAACACTTCTATTAAAATAGTTCTAGCATGGTTTTAAGGCTACTGCTGTACAAACTATTGCAAAATTAACTTCAGAATGACTATTTGGATTTTCCTCAGAACATACCAGTCTGCAAACCTTTTGTAAAAAAACTTCTTTTTTTTTTGTCTTACAGTGAATATGATATTTATGGGTTCCAGACCGTCCCAGAAGACGATGAGGAAGAGAAATTAGTCGCAAAGGTGCGAGCCTTGGATCTGAAATCCATTTCTCTCACTGAAAATCAAGAGATTTCCACTGGAGTAAAATGGGAAAATTATTTTGCAAGCACAATGAACAGGGAGATGATGTGCTGTCCAGAACTGAAGAATCTTATCCGCTCTGGAATCCCACATGAACATCGTTCCAAGATGTGGAAGTGGTGTATCAACCTCCACATTAAAAAGTGCAAGGATAGCACCGACCCTGGGTATTTCCAAACCCTGCTTCAGAATGCCCTTGAAAAACAGAATCCTGCATCCAAACAAATAGAGCTAGATCTCTTGCGAACTTTGCCAAACAATAAGCATTACTCTTCTCCCACTTCTGAAGGGATCCAGAAGCTACGAAATGTCCTTCTTGCATTTTCATGGAGAAATCCTGATATAGGATATTGCCAAGGTCTCAACAGGTATTCTATTTTAAATCTGATAAATGAAAGAGCAGCATACTAGAATACATGGTAGATATGTATACAGTAAGGATAGCACTGTGCTTCAGGACATGATTATTTTTATTTGTTAATTTCACTAAAGATACTCCTCATCTTGCTGATTTGATAATTTGGATGTTGTTTCAAACCTTGGTAACAGTTTGGAAGGAAATGTATCAAATAGTAAAAGTACTAAACAGAAAGAATTTGCAGGAAAAAGTCATTCAAAATAATGTTTAAAAGTGCCATTTTAAGACATTGGTCATAACACTGATACATTTTTTGAGAAATAAGGGGCTAAGTTCTTCCTCCTAATATATGAAGAACATGTTCATCTAAGGGCCATGTTGTGGCATATCTGATCATCTTTCAGAGACCTGCACTAAAAGGAGTTATCTGCACTCCTCCAGCCCCTCTCCCCCACAATAATAGTTTTCACTGGTGAACATCTGTGGAATTTTAATTTTTCCCACTTATTTTCACATAAGCCTCAGTTAGGGCAAGAACATTCTGTTTAGCATTCACTTATTAAATGAATTCTTGAACTTTTTTTTTTTTTTTTTTGCAAAGAGAATCTGACCCAGAATTAAAATAAAATAAAGATTGACCGTTTTTAAAGTTGTCACTTCTCCTTGATAACTGTTATGAGACACTTGATTGGGATATGGTTGTATTGGCAGTTTGAAGAGAAGAAAGAGATGGGGTAAAAGGAGGAGTGGGGAAATTCTATCTAATTTGGCTTGTATGGAAGTAGATCTAATAACAATGCCATAGACATTTTCTAGATATTTTGTAATGAAATAAATCCTCATGAAATAAGAGAATTCTGTAGATTGTATGGGTTTTTTAATCTAAAATAACATGTGCCTAAATCAAGACAGATTTTTTTTTATCTTCAGAGCCCAGGAATCTGTTGGTTTGGAATGCTTAAATAGTACAGAGATAGCTGCCAACAGAAGAACCTAGCAAAAACTGACATTGTGGGGGGACGAAGTGTGCTAGTCATTTTTGCTTACTGTGTGTGATGAATGGAAGAGGTACTACCCTATTCTGGACATCCAATCCATTCAGTTAATTAAATTGCCTTAAGGCTTAAACCCAGAGACAGCGGGTCCTTAAAAATCTCATAAGAACGGCCATACTGGGTCAGACCAAAGGTCCATCTAGCCCAGTATCCTGTCTGCTGATATTGGCAAATACCAGATGCCCCAGAGGGAGGGAACACAACAGGTAATCATCATGTGATCCCTCTCCCATCATCCATTTCCAGACAAACAGAGGCCAGGGACACCATTCTTACCCATCCTGGCTAATAGCCATTGATGGATGTAACCTCCATTAATCTATCTAGCTCTTTTTTGAACCCTGTTAAAGTCCTAGCCTTCACCACATCTCTAGGAAGTACTGGCTGGAAGCCAGGATAGTCAATAAAAAGAGTGTATTTTTTTCAATTGCTCTTTAACACCTCGCAGCCAAGTATGCTTTACCAAGTATAGGGGTTTTTTGTTAATAAAATCACCTTTTTAAGACTATGATCAGACTCCTGTGTCCTAGGAGGTTCTGTGTGCATGTGCCTGAGACTGAAAGGTCAGCTGTTAAGATAACAGTGGCAACACCTGGCAGAGAAAGTAGCGGGGGCACCAGCAATGCCTCTCCTCACCCCTTCCCACGCTTCACCCCTCCCCGCTTGCCTTTTCCCAATATCCCCCAGAGTGACGAGAAGTGGTGCTGCTTGGACTGGAGCTGCCCAGCTTTGTCATGGTCAGAAATTACAGGTTGTTTTACAAGCTCTCCCCTTAAGGAGGGTTCAAGAACTTGGCAGGTGGGTGCCCTATGGGAAGAAATTCCCAAGTGTGTCTTCCTGGGTTCTCAAAGTGGTTTTTTTCATTTGGATGGTGCCAGCATAACATCCACAGTCAGGGAATCCATGACCTTGGGAAGTTTTTTTAAGCAGAAACTTTTAATGGCAGGATATTTTAAAGTCTCTTGTAGGCCCCTACCTTCTGCACTCGAAGTGCCAGAGTGGGGAACAGCCTTGACACTGTGCTAGATAGATGAAAGAAACTAGTTAAGCAACCTTCCCACGGGACTTATCAAAAAATAGGGAGCTTAAACAAAATCTATAGGATTACACACATGGGTAGAAGGCATAGGTAACACAAGGTACAAAAGTGTACTCTTTTGATCACTTATCACCTACCTGTGCATAAAAAAGTGAGTCCTGAAGGTAATTGTATTATGCCCAAAAATGAACTAATCTTAGCCCATCACAAAAGATATGGCCATGCTGGATCAGCGCCATCATGCTCTTAGCCAACACCATGAAATTAAGAAGAAAATACAAGAAACCTCATGGCTAAATTGGAATGTCAAATTGGCTCTGACCTAACTTGTTAAAATAATTATCAAATATTTTAGCTGTTTTAGAATGTTAATTGTCAGACTTCAGCAGATTCACAAAACATAAGGGAAAGTTAGTATTTACACCCACACTATAGTGTCCTTCGCCTTGCAAAGTCTGAGAAGCTGTCAAAGTTCTAGGATGTCCTAAGCAGTTACTATTTCCGCTAGGGATGTGAACGACTAGTTGACTAGACCCTCCCCCCACCCCCGCTGCCTCAGTCAGAAATAGGCAGCAAGGGGGCAGGGAAGAGGATGGAGTGTTTCAAAGCAGCAGCACCACTTGGAGCCTGGGGCCAAACCCTGGGCTCCCCATGGCATTTCAAGGTGGCAGCACCACATGGAGCCTGGAGTCCATGTGGTGCTACTGCTTTGAAACACCACGGGGAACATGGGGCCAGCAATGGGCAGCTTGAGTCCCCCACTGGCCCTGTGCTCTCTGCAGTGCTTTCACTTTTCAAGTGTAGCAACAGCCCTGGAGCTCTTGCTACACTTCAAAGGCAGAGACACCCTTATTGACTAATCAAATAGTCAATGCAGATTGCATTGACTATTCAATTAGTCAATTAATCTAACTTTAACATCCCTAAATTCCACATTCAGGAGACGTTTCAACAAGCAAGTGATGTTAGATTAAGGCATCTGACTTGAAAAAGAAAGTCAAGTCTGATATTATGTGCACTTAATGTAACTTTGGTGTTCAGAGCTCTTCTTATCTATGTAAACAGGAAAACTAGCAATGCACTTAACTCACCTTTGATCGTGTTATAGTTTTCATGAAATAGAAAAATAAGAGAAACACATTCATTATTTTATTTTTAAAACAATACAGCCCAGCCAATTACTTTTTTGCAAACCCTGAATATTAAATCCTTGAAAGCTGCTACATTCTTCACTTAGAATACTTTGTAGTAGAGCTCTAGGGGAGTCATTCCTCAAAGTGTGTTTTGTGTTTTGTTTTTTGTTCTGATTCAGTGGCCATTCCAGCTTCTTCACAAAAGGGAAGAATCGAATGCAGGTCTCTTTGTTCCCGGAAAAGGGAGATGATTATCACTTTATACAGCAAATGTGATCATCTATGGGTTTTTTTCCATAGCTTTTGGGGACTAAACTTCTAAGGCTCCAAACATACAAGCTGGTTTATGTGGACTGATCCTTCTAGGTGCATGGTGCTCCATTGACTTCCATGGAGCTCTCTTCAGGCACAAATGTTCTGTGCCAATGCAGCTTGTAAAAATGGGCCTTAGCATATTACAAAAGACTTTGAAAAGCCGCACAGCAATTTCGCTTTAGATGCAAGATACTTTTGGAAAGCTTAATAATTTGGAAATTCCAGGAATACATCAAATTAAAACCATTCTTAAATTTGAAGTCTTTTAACCTAGTTTCTCAATTAACATCTACAGTTACTGTAACTTGGAAGACATTAAAAACAGGACTGTGCAGCACTTTAAAGACTAACAAGATGGTTTATTTGATGATGAGCTTTCGTGGGTCAGACCCACTTCCTCAGATCAAATAGTGGAAGAAAATTGTCACAACCATATATACCAAAGGATACAATTAAAAAAATGAACACACATGAAAAGGACAAATCAAAGACATTAGTGAGAAATACTGACCTGCTTTTTCTCTGTTATTTTATATTGTGAATATGCTGCCAAACTATGTATAATCATTGTCACATTTTCCCCTGTATAATCAGTTTTTCTGATTTGATTGTGAGAAACACACAGCAGAAGGGGAGAAAATTTTGTACTTGTGATCAGAAATCCATACATTTTGGTATGAAGTGTTGGATATGCACAGCCCTTAAAATTACTCTTGGCTCATTTTTGAAACTATGGTAAATTTCAAGTTGTCAGTGTTGCTGTATATACGCCAATAGTTTTAAAGAAATGTTAACTCCTTTAATTCTCTTACAGAAGACTATATAAATAATGCACAGGGCTTTCTTTGTGTGTAACATGTAGGAGGATTTTTATTTTCAACTCTGCCATTAGTAGAGGCTGTGTGGATTGAGAGCCACAGCAATGGCCTTAGAACCAACAGTTTCCAATATTTTAATTTTCCAACCCACTGCCAAAACGGCATCCAGCAAATCCGTTTGCTTCCTTTTGCCTTACTGGGTTCACTTATTTAGCTAAATAAAAGTACTGAAGCCCAAGACATGCCTCCTACTCAGGCAATCATAATAATTTTAAATGCATTTAGTAAAGTTCTATTTTAAAAAAATGTTTTGAAAAATTTGATCTGTGTTTTAGTGGGCTTGTTTTCAAAACTGACTCTCTTTATTTGTAGATTGGTAGCAATTGCACTTCTCTACTTGGAACAGGAAGATGCCTTTTGGTGTCTGGTTACAATAGTGGAAGTTTTCATGCCTCGTGATTATTATACTAAAACTCTACTAGGCTCTCAGGTATGCATTATGCCAAAATAAAACACAGCTTTGATAAGTGCCGCTAAAATATGGTTTCAATCTAATTCTGATTTTGAAAGCTAGTTATTGGACATTGGTTAAAATGAAGGTAATAATATTTGCCTCTAATAAGAGGGCTTTTATGAGATTAGTGATAGAGATGCAGCCGTGTTAGTCTGGTCTATCTGAAACAAAAAACAGGACTATGCAGCACTTTACAAACTAACAAGGTGATGAGCTTTCGTGGGCCAGACCCACTTCCTCAGATCAATTTGTGGAAGAAAACTGGCATCAATTTGTGGTCGAAAATTATGAGATTAGGTTGTTTAGTATATAGAAGTGCATTGATCAGTAGAAGAGACCTGATTGAGACTTCTAAGTATCATTACGGTATAAAAGTTTTTTTAAAAAAAGTTGTGTGCTTTGAAATATGAACAGAACTGTGTACGTGCTTAATCGCAGTAATAGCATGTCTCTCCTCTTTAGGTTGACCAGCGAGTATTCAAGGATCTGATGAATGAGAAACTGCCACGGTTGCATGCTCACTTTGAACAATACAAAGTTGACTACTCACTCATAACTTTTAACTGGTTTCTGGTGGTATTTGTGGACAGTGTGGTCAGTGACATCCTCTTTAAAATATGGGACTCTTTCCTATATGAGGGGCCAAAGGTGAGTTTTGTGAGCTAGATGTTTTGCAGTTCACGTAAGATATAACAATACAGTGCAGTGCTGAAAAATTCAGGGTGGGGGATTTCACAACAGTTCTAAGAGCTGGTCAAAAATGAAGCGAGGAAGAAATTTACATAACAGCCTTTTCAGCCAACAAGTTCTTCCATTTTAAGTTATGACTTGGACATTTTCCATGACTTTCATTATATAGAATAAGCCCTAAGTATTTAGGTAGTTCCCTTTGATAATGCTTTAAATACATCTGATTCCTTTTTGAAAAATAAACAAATATCTAACCAATATTTCCTGGTTACAAACACTCTCTAAAATAGAAGTTTAGGAAAATGCAAAACTTGGCTGTGACTAGGGAGGTGACATTTATTTGCTGTAGGGAGACAGGAAACTATCATTTTTGTTTTTAATTTCTGCAGACACTAATCTAGTATATGGGGCATCTAAGCCATTAATTAAAATTGCAGAATTAAAGAGACAAACAGCTGCCAATAAATGTACCACCTCAGCAAAAACTCACAGCTGAATAGAACTCTGACAGTTCTATTTAAAAGGTTTTATTTTTCTCAGATACTTAGATACAACACAAAATTCAAGCTAATAGGGAGGTGGGAGAGAGAGGGAGTGAGAGATGGGATGGGGGAAATAAGCAAGAGTAGTAAATTGAATGCCTTAACCTTCTCTTAACATTCCAGTTTACCCTGTGGCTTTTGGTTAAATAACTTTACAGTGAGCACAATACTGTGATAAGATATACCTGCACAGGGTAGCAAAGTGATAGGCCTGCTGACCCCACTCCATCATGGAGAGAGTGTCAAGACAGTTGTATCTCTTTCCCATAACTAACTGAGCAGCTGTTGGCAAAAGTTGAATTGACTTTCAGTTCCCTGTAACGTAATTCCCAAGTGTTCAAATACCCCAACAGACAAGACTGCGAGAAGTCAGATTTTCAAGTGTTCAAATACCCCAACAGACAAGACTGCGAGAAGCCAGATTTTGAAAAACTAATTACTTTTTTTTTTAAACATGACACAGAAAGCTTGTTGTTTCAACTCTGAAACAGTGTTGGTGTTTTATTAGGCCATGTTGCCTTGACTTTACGGTTTCGTTTTTGTAAGGCACTCGGAAGCTTTTGGACACTAATTTATTTAGAGGTGCCCAAGTTGTTATATATCTGGGGGAAAATGTTTGATCATCGCATGCAGAGCTGTTTCCCCAACATAAGGCTACCTTGCACAAATGCAAAAAGACTATGTTTCAAAAAGTTGGTTTTATATAAAAGTGACAGTATGAATCATTGTATTCAGAATGTAATATGTATGTATTCATACCTTTTTTGAAATCCAGGTGATTTTCCGTTTTGCTCTGGCTCTCTTTAAATACAAAGAAGAGGAGATGTTAAAACTGCAAGATTCAACATCCATATTCAAGTACCTCCGATACTTCACTCGGACCATTCTTGATGCTAGGTAAGTAATTTAATTATATACCTTTAACATCAACAGGATTTTATGTTGGGACACAGATGAGAAACACTTCACCTAGATGAACAGCATCTGTTCAGAAAAATATCTGAGATTTCTAGTCACTGGTTTGATTTTTGTCTATCCTCTTCCTTAAAGTGTGTGTGTGACTCCCCCATTTCAAATTCAGAAGCGAGAGAAACAAAAGTAAAAACAAAACAAAAAAGTATCTGCTGATAAAATGATAGTCATCTTCTTGTAAACAGTTTGGCAGTTTCACCTAGCATATCAATACCCGGATATTTATTTTGCAGTGTTTCCACTTACTCTTATTTATATTTGTATTGCAATTGTATCGTAACCTAGGGCTTCCAGTACATAGACACACACAAAGCATAAAATAAGAGGTCTGGAGTAAGGATGTGAAAGTAACCTTTTATACTGGGGCGGGGCGGGCAAAAAGGCGTCCACGGGCCTGATTCAGCTTGCCAAGCAGAGCGGGGCAGGCAAAAAGGCGTCCACGGGCCTGATTCAGCCCCCAGAGGCCCTGCCACCCCTCCACCCCCAGGCTAATTAAGGCCTGGGGGCGGGGGAAAGTGCACAAAGTTTCCTCTGCCCTGCCAAGAGCACCAGGTGCTTATAAGTGCCATGGACTCCTGGCAGGATGGGAGGAGACTTCACATGCTCCCCCACCCACGAGGCCTGAGGGCAGGGGGGAGTGCATGAAGTTTCCTCCGCCCTTCCCCCACCCTGCGAGGAGCGTGCGGCCCTTAGAAGTGCCACGTGCTCCTGGCAGGGCAGGAGAAGTCTTTGCACACTCCTCATGGTCTGTGAGTTTGAAAGGCTGGACATATCCTGGCCCTGCCTCTTCTGTTTGAGGCCCTGCCCCTTCCGCTGTGACCCGGGGCCACTTCAAACACTTCTGAAGTGGCCTCTGGCAAAAAATTATTGCCCACCCCTGGTTTACATGGTTAACCGAAGAGCCAGCTCCCCATGCGTACTAGCTCCTGTGGAGCCGCATGCTGCCCAGCATTGGCACCGGCCCCCTCCACCTAGGCTTATCCATGTAATCGCTGCAATTTTCAGCAGTTACACGATTACATAATTACATGTGTTTTAAGATCCCTAGTATAAACGTGCCCTATTGAGCAGTGTCGTGTACTACTGATACATGTACATAGGCAAGCATTGAGTAGTCAAAATATTTGTGTGTGTGTGTGTGTGTGTGTTTAGATACAGTTGCTGTTGTGTCCTTAATTCTTTGCATAGGAAGTGCCGTTTATGTGAACTCTGTACAGCATAAATTAACACCTAATGTTTGTACATATCTGATACAGGGAGAGGATGGTAAGCTAAAGAGCAGCAAACAAAAGTATTTTTCATAAAATGGCAGTTTGGATTGGAATTTGGCACAACAGTATAATACACATGGAATTTTTTTTACCATTCTTGGCTGTCCTCTAATAACAGCCAAACCAATGGAGCGGCTGAGATGTTATTTATTAGAACAAATGTCATGTGACTTAAGGTTTAAAAACTGATTCCTGTTTGGAGCTCCCTCTGTGTTGGGTGTTCTGCATGGAAGAAAAAAGGGCAGATTCACCCAGTGCTTAAAGATGAATGAGAGGGCCTGACCCAGTAAAAATTCTCTGTACTACCACATAGGAGAGGGAAGTTTGGCTTTGGCTCCCCCCAAGTGGCTCTGTGAGAATATACAAATCACACTGGTTCTATCTCAGAATTGACTCCCTCCTCCTTTCCCCTCTGCTGCTGATGATTTAAGGAATGTCTAAAGAGAGTTGTATTTAGTCCTTCTTGGACAAAGGAAAATCGTGATAATGATTCCAAACATAGAAGTGGAGAAAAGAGTGAGGGAGCCTGGGGAGGTGGGTGGAAATGTTTTTAAACACACAAAGTAACAGAAAGATAAATGCAATGCATGCTTTCTGAACCTGAACCTTTTGAGTAGTCCTGAAATCTTTGACCTATATTCTCCTTTGAATTAAAATGACTTTCCATACCAACACCATCAGAAAGTGATATTTACAGCCTAAACTGTTGTCCCTCCCTTATTTGAACAATAATGTCAGTCTTGAAGCTTACAAGACTTGTAAAGCTGAACCTTCTTTTTAAATAAGTGTGTATAACACCTGGTGATTTTTAAAATTGGATTACTCCAGCCCCCACAGAATCCTTTTTGTATTACCAAGGCATGTTTGCTAAACCAGGTTGGTTTAAGTCTGTAAAACTTGGGCCCCAACTATTTACTTTTTTTAAACTATATTTCTTTTAGCTTAGGAGTGGCAGGCTGGTGTTCTCTGATGGTTTAAATTAATGTACATGTTGGTGTACGAAAGCTTAATAATACATAAGCATTGCAATCTGGTTATTTTTAATTCCATTCTGTATTGGAATAAAATTGGCACTATCAATTTATCAGTACAGTGATTTAGTACTAATGTATTAGTGCTACAGTGACACCTTGTGGATTTAAGCTGAATTGATTGATTTAAAAATTAGTCTTCATAAAGAAAGTCTCTCAAGTTACTATTTTACAAACAATTTACTGTTAAAAAATATTTTTGAACTTGTAAAGCTTAGTGATAGGAAAGTTCTGAAGAGGCTGGAATAATTAATTGCACTAAAATATTTATGGTGTAGACTTGGCAACTGCTTCTGTTGTCTGGCCAGCATTTAAGGCGGGGCTGGGCAAAATAGAGCCCACGGGCTGGATTCAGCCTGTGGACACAACAGGGAGCCTCAAACACACTCCCTGCCTGTCCCGCATGCCACTCAGAAAAGTGGCTGTGGGGGTCTGTTCATCTTCGAACAGCTGCAAGCCCGAGGGAGAGGAGAGAGGCTGCCTCTACCCCCAACACTATCCCATTGGCCACTTTCCGGCCAATAGGAGCTACCTTTTAAAGAACAGGCAGTGCATGAAGCACCCTTCCCCCCTCCCCTCAGGATCACAGCTGTTCATACACACATGGCCACAGCAGCTGGTGCAGGGGTGGGGGAGGCAGGGAGCCTGCCTGAGAAACCTGCTGGGCTGCTGGCCAAGAGTCGTCCAGGTAAGTCTTGCCTCTGGCACCCCTGTACCTCTCTCCCCTCCCCCACTTCTGCCTCCCTACTCCTGCCAAGCTAGTTCACATAACCTAAACCCTCTGCCTCCTTCTGCACACATACACCCTCCCAGACCCTGCACCCTAATCTTTTGCCCCAGGTCATAACCCCCTTTTGCCCAAGGTCACAACCCAAACACCTGAACCACTTTCTACACCCAGTCCCCTGCCCCACATCACAACTGCATCCTTCACACAAACGCCCTCCCAGACCCCACAACCTGTTCTGCACCCAATCCCTTACCACAAGTTCCCTTTTGTACCCAACCTCCATCCCAGACCCTGAACCTCATCTATTAATATCATGGAAGAATGCAGCCCTTGACCATTTTCCAAATTCTTGGAGTTGGCAGCCATCAAAAATTATTGCCCACCTCTGATTTAAGGGGACATTCTGTAACACAAATGGGCATTTTAAAACTTCTTCTTTTCCAAAGCTACCTTGAAATTTCATACAAGACACATCAGAGATTAATTTCACACCATGTATAAAGCACTACAGTGAATGAAGCTTAAAACTGCCATTAAAAGCCATGGATCCAGTGGTGATCGTCTAATCTTAGGTCATCTTTCAGGAAACTGAACAACATTGCTTTTGGGGATCTGAATCCTTTTCCACTGCGTCAGATCAGAAACAGGAGGACTTACCACCTGGAGAAAGTGCGCTTAGAGCTAACTGAGCTTGAAGCCATTCGTGAGGACTTCCTTCGTGAACGGGAGACCAACCTCGATAAAAGGGACCTTATCAGCGATGATGAAGAAGATAGTTGAGAGAATTCATTGACTTACACTTGTTTGGAATTGTGACCAAAGCTTATTGTGTGGGTTAACTTCAAATACATTTCTATCGTATCCTTTAAAACTGAATGTTAAATATTGGCATTTGGAAATATGCGGGACAGATTTCCAACCTCAGCACTTTCTTTCAAAAATATTGTTTTGTATAAGAGGCCAAACAGTTCTGTTTACATCTATGTTCATGCAATTGTAGAGAGCACTTAAGAATTAGTATCTTTCAACCAGTTAAACAGCTGAGCTGACAGTTGTTCTTCTGAAGTGCCCCATCACAGTGCCTGTATGGAAAATGGTATAGAAACATCCTTTCTCTTTTAATCTAACCTCTTGTCTCATTTCTGAAGCAGTACATTATACTGAACATAGTTATACATTTTTATAGTATAGCCCCACAACATGAAAGAACACCATTTTTCAGTTTCAGGCAGATGCACAAAACTGGCTTTCATAGTATTTTCATGAATAAATGAGTCATTCTTTGTGTTACAGCTGAGAGAATATGGAATGGAACACACCAAGAGCTTTCATCTTACTCTGTTTCTTTAAAGGGAGCATGAAAATGGGATAGCTAAGAATGAAAATGTGTGTGTATAATCTTTCAGAATACTTTAATTACCATGCAAAACATAATGCATTTATTTTGAACAACTGTTTTATATTAATTATCAGATTATCAAATGTCTGTCAAGTTCTACTGCTTAATCTTTTTGTTTTTCTTCTGACCACAACTTCTCAAAAAATGACAAGCAGCTGTTAAGGGAAGATGGAGTTCACCGCAGGAGTCCCACAAACATGAGTAGATATTCTGTTGCTTACATTGTAGCATTTGTTTTTCATGAAGTTCTATTCTTCTCCCTGTTCGGGGTCTACACTAGAGCGATGTTTGAATTTTAGAAAAGCACCCAAGTGAACAATTTTTTTCATGGATATAAAGTATATTTTCAGTGTATACAATACAGTATCCTTAGAAAGGAAAAGAAATGTTTAGCAAAGCATCAGAGAAACCTAAAAGTCACCGTCTATGAAGGTGTTGGGTTTTTTTGTTTTCTTTTGTTTTTTTGTGGAAATGAACCATACAGCACACTCCCAAAAACATAGCTGCTGTGAATGATGTATTCATATGTATCCATGAGACAGCTCGGGAAACAGATAAGGTTATTCACTTAGTATTGTCTCTGACAGTATGACTATGAAAAGCACTGTTGCTTCACTTTTTGATATATGCTATTAGAAGATTAGTTAGAGGGCCTGATGGATTTTTCTTGCTTTGCTCTCATTTTGTTTAGGTTTCTTTATAATCATCTTTGCCAAGCTTTTCAATCATCAGAATGTCTGAGCTAAGCATCACTTTTGTGAGAGAAACATAAAATTAGAATTCCAACAAAAGTCATTAAAATCTGTCTCCCTCGAAAGGTTTTTTTTTTCATTTCTATGCCAGTAAAGAAGTGAGAATTGCAATAGTTGTTTGACGTTTCAGCTTACAATAACTTTCCATTCAGCTGTGAATATAGTTATTTAGTAGGTCTCTTCTGTTTCAGTCCTATTCATGTTAAAAAAGATAAAAAATACTGGTGGGAAAGGGAAGGGAAGATTGAGCTGGAGTTTCACAACTTTTTTTTTCTGTTGGCTTAATTGATGAATGGTTAAATATTTTGCCTTTAAATAAACACATCCTTTATAGAGAAATTGCCTAGTGTTATGCCTAAATAGAAGATCAGCCCATATCTTGTAACTTGAAAATCTTGGTTAGATAGATATTGAAATGCTGTTTAACTAGCAAAACATGTAATTTCAAATATGCAACAAGCCCTTATGCTTATTAGAGAAACTTGGAATGATCTTCAGAATTATTTCAGTTGTGTTTTAAAATATTCATAGCATGCATAGTACAAGCAGTATCTTTCTTACTTACACCTCTTGCCTTATACTTGAATTTACTAGGCAGGTTTTCATGCTATTGCACATTCTGTATTCCTGTTATACTTATTACTATAGTGAATATTTAAATACACAAATCAGACCAACTTTTTAAATTTTCTGATTGTATGCTGTCAGTGTTTTGAAGGAGCTGGTCTCTAACCAGATCTATGTTTCTTCTTTAAAAAATGTTTTCAAGCATTAAATGAAATCCATCCATTTATAAACTTAAGTTTTTCCTTTGTATAGCAACATTTAAAATACTATGTTTGAACATTTACTAGTCTACCACTTGTGGAGATCTTGCTATTTTGAGCCTTAACTATAGACCAGTTTTGTGACATTATAAACATTTTCAAACAATGCACAGAAGCCCTCAGGTGATGCAGAGAACGCTGTTAACTTTTGAACCACTGTACAAGAATTTCCCCATAGATGGCAAGTGTATGGAAGAGTAGAGTTGATTTGCAGTATTGAAGGCCCATTCCTCATAAGAAATGATATGCTGGTGGTTAAATTTAATTTCTTGTGTTCCTGCTATTTGTATTAAATGTTATTACTGATGTCTAAAATTTGTGCAGTAACATTAAATGATGTTTTCATGTTTTGAACTGTAAGTTCAAAATCTGATACACAAGAAGTGGAATGCTCAAAGATACCATTTGTTCAGATTATTTTGTTGGGCACAGTGAAATGAGTTGGTTGCTTCAATCAGGTTCCCCATAGCCTGGTGCTTACATTTCAGTAGGCATAATGGCCAAAATTTAAATGGGCAATAAAGACTAAATTGTACTCTTATCATCAAAGTCCCTACGGAATGGGAGTGAGCTTGCTTTACTGTTGTCCATCCTGTTCTGCAAGCAAATAAAGGATTGTGAGTGCTGCTTAATTTATGCTAATGTTCATTTTTTTAAATGAACATACAAGGCTGCAAGCATTCAGTAATATTCAGCAGGTGACACCGGACAAATACAATGTGACCCGGTGAACTGCAAAAGCTGGAATGTGTTGAGGAAAAAAATGTTAACATTTAGGGGAAAACTTGAAAAAGTGCAGAAGGACTTAAGTGTGCATCCCTGCTGTTGATTTAGAAATGAATCCCTTAATGAAAATAATACAGATCAAGTTAAAATTGATGTCAAAATGTCTTTTTCTGTTTAAGGTCTTGTTTGATACTTTCATTACTCTTCACTACAATACTTTTACAGTCTTTTAAAAAATAGAAAATTTCAATTTTATGTACATATGTGAAAAATATTTGTTATGCATGGCTCCCATTACGTGTGTTTATGTAAACCAAAACACTAGATTAAAATCCACTCACCCATTATGCATGATTCTAAATAAAGTAACTTTCCACTGTCTTGTAAAAAATGTTTGATCTTGTTACAGAGAAATCTTGTTACAGAGAAATCTTGTTATCTTGTTACAGAGAAATCTATTAGGGATGGTACTTGGTCCTGCTGTGAGGGCAGGGGACTGGACTCAAAGACTCCTTAAAGTCCCTTCCAGTGCTATGAGATTGGTATGTCTCCATATATACACACACTATCCCTCTTAGCTAGTAGTAGTAATGCACAGTATTCCAGCTCCACCTCTGCCCACAGTATTATAATCCAGTATTATTAGCAAATTTCTTTTATCAGTTAAAAGTATATCTGTGGTTAAGTAGAAAGAATTTGCTTTTTCATTGTTCTTCTGTAGGCATACAGGTATGTACACATAGTAGGGTGTCTGAGCAATAAAAGGATTTTGTAATTTGAAATAGCTAGAGTAAGAGCATTCCTTCATTTTACAAATAAGTCATGTTCACAATCCATGCTAGTTTGTTATGTTAAACTGTTGAGAAATTCAACTAGTCATTTTTCTACTCTGGAGCTATATACAGATGTTTAAATAAACCTTAAGAACCATATTTTTTAAACAAATTCAATAGTGCATAGTATAATAAATCACTTTCAATCACAAAACTTAACTGGTCTTCTTTTGCTAAAGATTGTTGTAAGATTGAAAGAAAAGAAAAATAAACCATTTATTACTTTGTATTATAATTTGGTATGTGTCATTTTTAACAGAAATGCAGGAATCATTAAAACATCCAGAGAAGAACTACATTTTGACACTAGTTCTTTTAAAAGTCAGATCATCAATTTTGAGTTTCAGTGGAAAACTTTTGTCTAGTACAGGAGCAAGTATTATTTGATTACAGTTCTAAAATGAAGAAAAAAAAGCAAATAGAACAAGGGAATGAGTGCGTGAGACTCATATTACATTCATTCTCCTTAATGACATTTCTCTTGTCTGAGTTAATCAAAACAGGACCTTGATGTAATTTTGAAAGTAGTCAAGCTATGCCAGAAGTACAGGAGGCAGAGAAAAAGGAGGGACAAGGCAAAACTGGGAGGCAAGATCAAATCAGTATTTTAGATAGCTATATACAAATGCAAGAAGTATGGGTAATAAGCAGGGTGAACTTGAAGTGCTAATAAATAACCACAACTATGACATCATTGGTATCACAGAGACTTGGTGGGATAATGCATATGATTGGAATATTGGTATAGAAGGGTACATCTTAATCAGTAAGGACAGGCAGGGAAGAAAGGGAGGAGGTGTTGCCTAATATATTAAAAATGTATACACTTGTACTGAGGTGGAGATGGACATAGGAGACAGATGTGTTGAGAGTTTCTGGGTTAGGTTAAAAGGGGTGAAAAACAAGAGTGATGTCATGCTAAGGGTCTACTACAGGCCACCTATCCAGGTGGAAGAGGCAGATGCGGCTTTTTTTAAACAACTAACAAAATCATCCACAGCGCAGGATTTGGTGGTGATGGGGGACTTCAACTATCCAGACATATGTTGGGACACTAACAGTGGGGCACAGACTATCCAATAAGTTTTTGGATTGCATTGAAGACAACTTTTTATTTCAGAAGGTTGAAAAAGCTACTGGGGGGGGATCTGATTTGATTTTTAATAAATAGGGAGGAACTGGTTGAGAATTTGAAAGTGAAAGGCAGCTTGGGTGAACGTAATCATGAAATCGGAGTTCATGATTCTTTGGAATGGTAGAAGGGAAAACAGCAAAACAGAGACAATGGATTTCAGGAAGGCAGATTTTTGTAAGATCAGAGAGCTGATAGGTGAGGTTCTATGGGAAGCAAGACTAAGGGGGAAAACAACAGAAGAGAGTTAGCAGTTTTTCAAAGGGACATTAAGGGCCCAAAAGCAAACTATTCCGCTGCGTAGGAGAGATAGAAGGTATGGCAAAAGACTGCCTTGACTTAATCAGAAGATCTTGCATGATCTAAAAATGAAAAAGGAGTCCTATCAAAAGTGGAAACTAGGACAAATTACAAAGGAAGAATAGAAGCAAACAATACAGGTATGCAGGGGAAGATTAGAAAGGCAAAGGCACAAAACAAGCTCAAACTAGGTACAGACATAAAGGAAAACAAGAAAACTTTCTATAAATATATTAGAAGTAAGAGGAAGACCAAGGATAGGGTAGGCTAGTTGCTCAGTGAGGAGGGAGAAACAATAACAGGAAACTTGGAAATGGCAGAGATGCTTAATGACTTTTGTTTTGGTCTTCACCAAGAAGTCTGATGAGGGAATGCCTAACAGAGTGAATGCTAGTGGGAAGGGGGTAGGTTTAGACGATAAATTTAAAAAAGTTAAAAATCACTTAGAAAAGCTAAATGTCTGCAAGTCACCAGGGCCTGATGAAATGCATCTTAGAATACTTACGGAGCTGATAGAGGGGGTATCTGAGCCTTTAGCTATTATCTTTGAAAAATCATGGAAGTTGGGAGAGATTCCAGAAAACTGGAAAAGGGCAAATCTAGTGCCCATCTATAAAAAGGGAAATAAGAATAACCCAGGAAACTGCAGACCAGTCAGTTTAACTTCTGTGCCAGGAAAGATAATGGAGCAAGTAATTAAAAAATTCATCTGCAAACACCTGTAAGATAAGGTGATAGGAAACAGCCAACATGGATTTCTAAAGAACAAATCATGTCAAACCAATCTGATAGCTTTCTTTGATAGAATAACAAATCTTGTGGATCCAGGAGAAGCAGTGGGTATGGTATATCTAGACTTTAGTAAGGCATTCGATATGGTCTCACATGATCTTATCAATAAACTAGGCAAATACAACTTAGATGGGGCTACTATAAAGTGGGCGCATAACTGGCTGGATAACCGTTCTCACGGAGTAGTAATTATCGGTTCACAATCCTGCTGGAAAGGCATAACAAGTGGGGTTCCGCAGGGGTCTGTTTTGGGACCAGTTCTGTTCAATATTTTCAACGATTTAGATATGGGCATGGAGAGTATGCTTATTAAGTCTGCAAATGATACCAAGCTAGGAGGGGTTGCCACTGCTTTGGAGGGTAGGGTCATAATTCAAAATGATCTAGACAAACTGGAGAAATGGTCTGAGGTAAATAGGATGAAGTTTAATAAGGACAAATGCAAACTACTCCACTTAGGAAGGAACAATCCGTTTCACACATACAGAATGGGAAGCGATTGTCTAGGAAGGAATACTGCAGAAAGAGATCTAAGTTTCAAAGCGGACCACAAGCTAAATATGAGCAAAAAAGCAAACCTGTTAATGCATCCCAGAATCACGAGTGTTGTGAGCAAGACACAAGAAGTCATTCTTCTGCTTTCCTCTGCGCTGATTAGGCCTCAGTTGGAGTGTTATGTCCAGTTCTGAGCACCATATTTCAAGAAAGATGTGAAGAAACTGAAGACAGTCCAGAGAAGAGCAACAAGAATGATTAAAGGTCTAGAGAACATGAGCTATTAAGGAAGACTGAAAGAATCGGGCTTGTTTAGTCTGGAAAGGAGAAGACAGAGGGAACATGATAGCGGTCTTTAGGTATCTATAAGGGTATCACAAGGAGGAGGAAGAAAAATTGTTCTCCTTGGCCTCTGAGGATAGGACAAGAAGCAATGGGCTTAAACTGCAGCAAGGGAGGTTTAGGTTGGACATTAGGAAAACCTTCCTGTCAGAGTAATTAAATACTGGAATAAATTGCCTAGAGAGGTTGTAGAATCTCCATCTCTGGAGATATTTAAGAGCAGATTAGATAGTCATCTATCAGAGATGGTCTCGATGGTACCGGGGCCCTGCCATGAGGGCAGAGGACTGGACTCAATCTCTTGAGGTCCCTTCCAGTTCTAGTGTTCTATGATTTTATGGAGATTCCACCATTCCAGTACTTCACCACCCTCCTAGTGAAATAGTTTTTCCTAATATCCAACCTAGACCTCACCCACTGCAACTTGAGACCATTGCTCCTTGTTCTGTCATCTGTCACTACTGAGAACAGCCTCTCTCCATCCTCTTTGGAACCTCCCTTCAGGTAGTTAAAGGCTGCTATCAAATCCCCCCTCACTTATCCGTAGACTAAATAAGCCTAAATTCCTTAGCCTCTCCTCATCAGTCTCGTGCTCCAGCCCCCTAATCATTTTAGGTGCCCTCCACTAGGCTTTCTCCAATGCATCCACATCCGCTTTGGAATTCCAGGATGGGGGAGCAGAATTGGATGCAATATTCCAGATGTGGCCTCACCAGTGCCAAATAAATGGGAATAATCATTTCTTTAGATATGCTGGCAATACTCCTACTAATGCACTCCAATATGCCATTAGCCTTCTTGGCTACAAGGGCAAACTGTTGACTCATATCCAGCTTCTCATCCACTGTAATCCCCAGGTCCTTTTCTGCAGAACTGCTGCTTGGCCAGTTCCTGTAGCAGTGCTTGGGATTCTTCCATCCCAAGTGCAGGACTCTGCACTTGTTCTTGTTGAACCTTATCAGATTTTTTTGGCCCAATCCTCCAATTTGTGTAGGTTACTTTGGAACTATCCCTACCCTCCGACGTAGCTACCTCTTCC